TTTCATTAATAAAATAAATATATTTCTTTAATTAGTCAAGTCTATGTATATAGGTACATAGTTGATATTTCTTTTCTTTTTTATGCTCTTGCTATTTATAGGGTATATTGGTATCTAACCTCCAGAATTTAGTTTGAATTATTATGACATGCTTTAATGTATTAATTGACATATCAAACTTGTTACGCTGCTAAGAATTGTTTATTTAAATTTAGTTAGTTATTGACAAGGGTGGTGCTAGGGTCATTAATAATGATAGTATAATTTGTTATATATTCATTTTTGGTACGTTTGTACACTTATTTTCCCAAGTGCAATCGGAGCTAAAACTTTTATGAAGACGAATAGCAGAAGTTAATTGCACTTGGATAACAGGTGAGTTATCTACGGTACGAGTTGGGAATTAATTAAGTGCAGGAGTTGTTATTGATAACAATGGTAATGAAAACCAATGGTAATTGCTGTAAAAATGTAGTCGTTACTTATTTTTTTAATGCGTTTTTCAGGTGAAAAATAATTTGTTAGATTTTAGAATCTATACATAGTAAATGATTAATATAAATAATAATATCCATGCGCTCAGCTAAGTTTATTTTGTTTATTGATAGCTAACAGTGCTGTTTCATATTCATGACGTCACACCGTTAACTTAACAGACCGCTTTGCATAACCTACTATTACTCAATCGAGATCTAACATCACTCAATTGTTGATAAACGCTCGTTCTCTCTATCTCTTTCTCTCTCTCTCTTTCATTTACATTGTGCTTATGTTAATTTCTCGTTCGCATGCGGCAGTGCAGCACGGCAATACTGGCGGTTAAATTCGCATTCATTTATAGATGTATAATAACAATGCATAATATGTTTATGTATTTATGTATGTATATGTATTTAGGTGTATATAAATTATCAATTTATGGGTCGACTATTCAATTTGTATTCATCATAATCAACTTTAGGATAAGCACATAATAACATAAAACATTTGATCATGCGTCGTTAACATAGTTAAAGTTAATTGTCAGTAATACATTTTATATATGGAATAAATCAAGTTATGGTATAGTATATAGATGTATATATATATATATATAAGTATAAGGTCATGCAAGTGTAGGTCTACATGGTATTATAAAGTTGAAACAATTGTAAATTGTAAAATATTACAAGATATTCCAAATAATCAATTTCATTAAATAATCATCTCTGCTTTAAAAACAGAAAAAATCATTACAGGGTATACAATCGTCGACTAACTGCCAGAGTTCGCCTTAAGATTGTTTTGACAAAATTAATTGATAAGTAATTCCTTATTGTGTGTGGAACAACCTAATTCACTTATCAATTCAAATCGAATTCGGGTATTTTTAGCGGTGTTCGGCTCTACGATTGAGTCGCGGCAGCGAATGTTAGTTAACATTTTGATTTAAGTGGGTGTTAACATTGATTTCGGTTTCAGTTCAAGTTCTGTTGTTGCGTCGCAGCGAGCTGCTGCGCCTGAAGCTCGTTGTCGTCGCTTTTATCTTCCGTTATTTTCTCACTTTCGTTTCTGCTTCTGTGTGTTTCTTATTGTTGTTGCTGTAGTTTTTTTTGGCGTAAAATTATGAATGTTGTTGTGGCGCTGCTTTTACTGTGCGCGTTCGGCTTGTCGCACGCCTCGATCATCAAATTACCAACAGCTGATGATGAGAAGACGCCGTGGGACCTGCTCAGTGCCATTTATGGCACCTCTGGCCTGCGCAGCTTCAATGGCACGTGGATAACAGGTGAGCTACTTATTGTTGCTGCTGCTACTCCTCGTCCCACTTGTTATGATTAGGCGGGGTATTATTTATGCTGTTTGTTGGTTTAACCCACAAAGCTATTCAAGCGCAGCTTATCGCCGTCGCATTCGTGCAGGGAGAGTCCCCGCAATGACAATGACGCGTGAGCTGAATAGATTCATTCCGTTGAGGTCATTTCCCTGTTATGCTAAGTTATCGCTTTGATTAATGTTGCTATATAGATGCTATTGTGTGTAGAGTTTATATCAAAAAGATCAATTTGTTGACCTTGAAATAATTTGCAGTCAATCTAAAATATTTGTGGGATAGAGAAAAATAATTATATAAAATTATATAGCAAGAATTAATATAAATTAACTTAACGAAATAAAGTAAAATACAAAATAAAGTTACAGAAAATATAAGTAGTTCTAATTAAATGTATATAAAATAATGAAAGCTATATATAAATTTATATACCACTTTTTTGCTCTTAGCTTTCTTTTAGCTCAGTGGTCACGAGTTATACCCTAAAACTTTCATATTTGTAGACCCTAAATAATAATAATCTAGCCGAACTACTTTCCGTTCCTTCTTATCTTATCGGCATATCTTGACTCAAACAATCGAATTATTGTTGATCATCAAATTATAGCTGTTTGTATAGCCCTTACATAGCATGTGCGAACTGCTCTTGAAAAACTTGTTCACGAAAAAGCTCTTGAATTGTGTTTAATTTGAATAATTTTTACAAAGAATCCAATAAAAGGGAGTTGGAGAAATATATTTGCTGTTGCTGGGAGTTCAAGAATAGATCTGCCATTGTTAATAATTATGGCAATGCTATATATAGGTATATTAATACTTCACGACTTAGTTATCGTCAGTAGGGTATAGAAACCTTTATTATGCAAGTCATTCGAACAAGTTTTTCAAGTATTTTTGACTTTGATTATTGAGCACTTTTGTTTATTGCTCGTTAATTTGTCTGCTGAATTGAAGAGTGAAATATCAATACTTTTAAATGTTATTCATTTATGTGTGCTACACAGTCTTTGTCAGAGATAAAGAGAGAGTGGGAGAGAGAGAGAGAGAGAGAGAGAAAATATGGAGGTGAACAGGAAATATTTCTAACAATAATTTTAGCCTAGCAAACATACTCTCAATTTATTAAAAAAGAAAAA